AATATTGAAAGTGTCATGGGCTGCCAAAAGAACCAATAGATCCATTTTGGAAGAAGTGCAGCTAGAATGCTCCTTGGAGGCCAAGATGGCCAATCTTCATCTCTCATACTTTGGACATATTGTCAGGAGGGACCAGTCACTGGAGAAGGATATCATGTTTGGTAAGGTGGAGGGTCAGAGAAAGAGAGGAAGACCCCAACAAGATGGAATGGCCAAGTGACAGCATCAAGGGACTCAAGCGTGGCAACAGTAATGAGGTTGGCCCAGGATCGGGCAGTGTTTTATTCCACTGTGTGTAGGGTCACTATGGGTCGGTATCGACTCTATGGCACCTAACAACAACAACGACACCTGAAAAACATGAAATCCATGTGTCCATACCGATTATAAATAAATACATGGATAACTCACTAAAGGAGAAGAAGGAAGAGTTCTTCCTGGAAGTGGGATGACAACTGATAAATAAAAGCGAATGATGGTGTTACCCAATTATCAGTAGATGCTGAAACTAAGGGTGAGCATTTGATGAGGGACAGACAGTCTTGTTTATCTACATCATCTTCAAATACCTCCTTGCTAGATATTTATACTTCATTGCAAGCAAAGAGTAACTGTAAGTCTGTAGTGGAGACGCTTGGTGGACACAACCTGGTGTGGCACTGTAGGATAAGCACTGGACTGTTAACCACAAACTAAGTGGTTCAAACCCACCAGTTATTCCTTGGAAACTTAACACAGGGTTGCTATGAATCAGAAGTAACTTGACGGCACTTATCAACAACAGCAACTTTAGGCTTAGGCTGGGTTCTCTGAAGAAAACCAGTGAAGCTGGGAAGCTTATGTATTATATATTGTTACTCTTGTTAAGTGCTGTTGAAGTGGTTCCAATCCATAGTGACCCTGTATAGGGTTTCCAAGGAGCAACTGGTGGGTTTGAACCACCAACCTTGGGATTAGTCGTCCATGGAGTCCTGGTGTGGTGCTATAGGATAAGCACTGAACTCCAAGGTTGGCTTGAACTCCAAGGTCAGCCAGCTGCTCTTTGGAAACCCTGTACAGTGTTGCTATGAGCTGAAACTGACTTTACGGCACATAACAACAATACATATAGAGAGAGTTGTTATTGTTAGTGGGTTCCGACTCATAGTGACCCTGTACGGGGTTTCCAAGGCTGTAAATCTTTACGGGAACAGAAAGCAGAGAGAGAGGTTTATATCAAGGAAATGGCTCACACAGTTGTAGAGGTGGGCCAATTCCAGGTCCATGGGCCAAATGTCAGGCTGAACGTTTCTCCTGACTCACGGAGCTGCAGGAGCTGATAAACACAAGATCAGCCGATTAGCTAGATGGCAAAATGAATCCAAGGTCATTAGGTAGGATAGCAGGTTTAAATGCACTAGCTGCTCCTCGGAAACCCTCTACGGGGTTGCTAGGAGTCAGAACTGACTTGACAACACTTAGCAACAACATATCCACAAGGAGCCCTGGGGACACAGTGGTTAAGTGGTCTCCGGCTAATCAAAACTCAGTGGTTTGAATGCACCACCTGTTCCTCGGGAGAAAGATACAGCAGTCTGCTTCCGTAAAGATGACAGCCTCGGAAACCCTGTAAGGCAGCCTCGGAAACCCTGTAAGGCAGTTCGACTCTGTTCTTTAGTGAGTCTGTGAGTCTGAATACACGTGACACCAAAGCCTTTGGTTTTTGGCTTTAAATACATTTTATTTATTGAAGTGATGCAAACTGCCTGCACTCAATGACTCACTGAAAGGTTGGCAGTTCGAACCCATCCAACAATACCAGGGAGGAAAGATGTGGCAATCTGCTTCTAGAATTACAGCCAAGAAAACACAGAGCAGGTCTACTCTATACCACGTGGGGTGGCCAGGAGGCGGAATGGTCTCCAAGGCAACGGATTTGGTTTCTTTCTTGATATATATTCATTTGGGTGCCATCCAGTCAGTTCCAACTCATCTCGACCCTGCGTAACAACAGCAGAGCCGCCCCATAGTTTCCTGGGCTGTCATCATTGTAGGAACAGATGCCAGGTCCTCCTTCTCCCTGTTGAGCTGTTCGGGGATGGAGGTTCAAACCACCAACCTTCTAGTTAGCAGCCCAGCACTTAAGGATGGCACCAGCCGGCTTCTTTGCTCATTCTTCTTGCAACTTGTCTGAACTTTCTAACTGTTGCTTTAACGATCACCACTTACTTTGCATATTTAAATACATGCTCATAACCCGACACTTTGTCACGCCCTCTGCGGCCAACATCCCATTCCCATTGCTTCCTGTCTAGACTCCGGAAGGCATGTCCTCACTGTTCCAAGCTTCCACCTTCACCAGCACCCCCAGTCTGTTCCCCACACAGCCTGATCCGATCCCTCTTCTGTTCAGAGACCCACCAGGGACTCCCACCTCACTCCAAGAAAAAGCCCAAGTCCTCTCCCAGCATCCCAGGCCTGCCTCTCTCCACCCGGGAGCCTCAGGACCAAGCCTGCTCCCAACACTGCTGTTACACTGGCCTTGCTCACCTTCGGCCACACCTGTCACGAACCTCACACAGCAGGCCTGTCTGTGTGTCTCTCCTTTTCCGTTACCCCTATCTTAGAGTCCTGGTGTGGCACTACAGGATAATGCAATGGGTCGCAAGGTTGGTTTGAACTGCAAGGTGGGCAATTCAAACCCCTCAGACACTTCTTGGAAACCTTATTGTTGTTGTTGTTATGTGCCGTGGAGTCGGTTCCGACTCATAGCAACCCTGTACAGTGTTTCTGAGGCTGTAAATCTTTATGGGAGCAGAAAGCCTCATCTTTCTCCCGCAGAACAGCTTGTAGTTTCGAACTGCTGAAGGTTGCTATGAGTCGGAATCAACTCAATGGCACTTAACAACCACAAGCGTCCCCATCTTAAAGATCTACCTCTCAACCCTGTGGCACTTACTTCAGC